TCATAAACTTACGTGTGATAGGTGAGAAGTGAGACAATGAAATAAAAATGTTTTTTACTTCTTTTTTTACAAAAACCCCCTTCTTCCAGTTTGAGTGCAGTATATTCGAAACCAATAATTAATAATGACTCTCTTATCTTTTGTTTGGATTATATGATGAAAATATTTTAAAAATTAAAAATAAGATTACTTGAAAAAAAAAAAACAGGAGCATAATATTCAAAATTGACAGACAAATTTTTCTTTTTTTTTCTTTTTATATATTCTCTCCTTATCACATGTCTTTTTCTTTGTTCCTCGTTGTTTTTTCATAACCCAAATTTTGCTTGCAAAGATGCAAAAGTAAATAAAGCGTGCAGCGTGTTTTCTTGGCAAATCTAAAACCCCTTTCTCTTTCTTTGCTTGAAACAAACACCCTGCTTCTCTGAAGTTGATCCAAGAATGTAAATTTATTTAAATTAAAACTCATTTCATCTTAATCAGAGGTTAACCTGTCAATGCCTCTTTCAAAGAGCAACTGCTCCAACATCACTCAACTTCACTCATTATCACATAATCAATCTTCCAAATTGAATTACAGTTTGATTACTCTTTCCTCACATTGTTTTGCTTTCACAAGTAATTTCCTCTTAGAAAAGCAACAATGCACAAATTTGTTGTGTTTGACAAAATCAGAAAAATTCAAAGACTGCAGCGGGTGTTCTCATGAGGGATAGAGTGAGAGTTTCCGACCATGACAGATTCTGTCACTGTAGGAAAAATTGTGACAAGAGAGGGAAAATGAGAATAAAAAATAGTGTTCACTTTCGATCTGGAACCTTTACTTTAATTTATAAGGATTGTATTTGATTTGAATCCCTTCTGCATTGTCTTGTTTCTTCCAAACAGCAGTTTCATGTCGGCGAAGAGTTGCTGCATCATATCATGCTCCTTGCTAATAAAGTGGAAATTTAACCTATTATATGAATTTCATTAAATAAATATAAGGATGAATTAATTATTTATTACTGAAATTATAAAGAAGGTGCCTTGTGTTGAGGGATAAATTGAGTTTGTTTTGTCTTTGCAATTTGCGTAATAGATCTAAGGCGTGAGAACGTGTTCTGGGGATCTGGTTGAAGTTGAATAGCAGAAAAAATAGAAGAAAACAAAATAAAATTAGAGGGCGGTGATAACGCAGGTATTAAGTTAGTATTTAATTAATTTCTATTTGTTATGCAGTTTTAATATTATATCTATTGAATTAATGTTTATTAAAATATGTTAATTTGTTAGGTTGAGAGAATTGAGAAATATAACGATGCTGATATTTGAAAAGAGAGATGTATTGTAAAAGAGTTAGAGAGGAGTGAAAGTTGTAGTTTGAAGAACAAATATTACATAAAACATAGCCCTACCAAGAAGAAATCGAGCAGCTCAAGCTTTTTGTCTCCCTCAGTTGGTTTGAAGAAGAGGATTCAATGTATCCACTCATCACAAGCTCATTTGTTGCACCAATCTCATCTTGTGGAAACCAAGACCAAAAACTTTGCAAATTCAACTTCTCATGAATTTGGGAAATCTACATTTATCGTCCAATTACGTTTTTACGTGTTTATTTATTTGAATCTGTTATAAAAAAAAAAAATTAACCATATTATTTACACTAACTATCATAAAAAACTTTGAACACATATTATTAGAACCAAAGAGAGTGAGAAATAAAAAATAAAAAATAAAAAATACTCCACCGAATCGACAAAGGCCACTTGCGCTAACATTGAGTAATTTATTGTCTTCTGATATGAGGTTTTGAAAATGTAAAACGAAAATGTTGTCTCTGGTTTGGCTTTTAATTAACATGGTTTTGTTTTGACCGACACGTCTGGTTCGTAACACATGGCTTGTGTTTTGTACACTAGAGAACAAAACACGAATACGCAATACTCTGCCCAAGTGATTCTCATGTGCCAGTAATCATCATGTAAATGCTGTTCATGGCACCACATGTGTACTCCATGTTTTCTATTATTTTTCTCTCTTTTTTTTTTTTTTTCATCTACCTTCTTTTTCAGCAAATTAATTAAAAGTTCGGTTAAACAATTTTATTTAATTCGAAGTCAGCTTAAACAATTGTATATTAGTTAGGTCAGATCGCGGATGAACAGACTCGGCTTAAAATTTTGATTGGTTCAAATAAAAATTACTTCTTTTTAATTAAAATAAAATATGTTTTATTCTAATAATATAGCCTTGTTGTATATATACAAGTTAAATAAACCTACAATATTCTTCAGCAATCTTTTTAATCTCTGTTTAATAGAAGTTTTTCTTATAAACTTGGCTTATATGAAAGGAAAATATTTATTTAATATATTAATTATATGGTATATATTGTGTTTAATAAATATAGCGCTTAATATTACCATGCATTCACTTTTGCTTATATACGTTGATGGGCCAATAGCGAAATAGGAATAGGTTGCTTATTCTCCATTCAAATAATTGTTTTCCTCTATTTCCATAATATATGTCAAAAATGTTTTTCATAACAGTTTTTTCTCTCATGCATCGTATTTTCATACCAACACTTATACTTTTGTTGCATCTTTTTATTTTCATTTTAGTAATATCATTTTTATTTTAAACTTAGAAATTTGTTAATGATTATATTTTGAATATACATTAAAAATTTCATAAAAAAAATTGCATTGGTAGGATTTTGGATTGTTAAATCCGAATATATTTTTAGAAAACACAATTTAAAAATAAAATTTGAATAATTCGAAACTTATTTTCAAATATTTCAATAACTTGTTTTCAGGCTGTATTGTTTAGAAATATAGTTTAAATTCAAAATTCATTTATGAATTATGTTTTAAAAAGAAAAAATCGATTGACTTTTTAGAAATCAAAAATATTTGTAGAAATTTAAAATGAACCTTGTGGAACCTATATATAGAGACAATATTATCACTTAAGATAAATATGGAGTGCAGAAGAAAGTACAGGGGTGCAAGTAGAAACAGCCTTCAAAGATGAAGTTTGGGCCACCAGTGGTGCAGAATAACTAATCCAGAGAATAAATTAGTCCAATTAAAAAATTGCCCGCTGTTGAATTAAAAAATTTGTGAACTTATTCTTCAGCTAACGCAGAACAAATTAGGGTTCAGAAAACCTAAATAAACAGATATTATAGTTTATATAATACTCTTATATATATATATAAAACAATTGAGTTTAAGTAATTCTATGCATTAATGAAATAAATATTTGAAATTCTGACAGCTTACCCTCCAATGCAAATTCTAAACGTTATAGAGTGCAGTATATGGCAATTTTAACTCAATTTTTTTTCAATATCTAGTAGTAAGTAACTATTATCAAATGTAATGAAAATTTTTATTTAAAATACAATAAGTAAATACTTCCATTTTATTTACTTATACTAAATGTAAACACGCTTTTAAATTTTAAATATATTGTTTAAAACTTCATCATAAATATTTTGATAAATTAACTGATATTCTTAGTATTGAAAAGATATTTATGTTATAATTTTTCATTTCAAAAAATAATAACAAATCAGTTAGAAGTGAAGAATAAGTTGGATCCACGTTAAATAAGAGTTAAATAGGAAAGAAAAAGTTAAACAATATATAAATAAAAAAATTTATAAATTTAGTATCCAAGTTTATTTCTTTTTGGAATATTTTCTGATCCATGAACATCTTAATGTTAACCCCTTCCAATAATATATATATATATAGAAAAAAAAAACGCATATTGTTTTATAAAAAAAATATAAATAAAAAACCTGTTGTCTCAACTATAATAAAAATCAAGTATCGTGTGTATACTGGTAAAAGACCCAAATCAGGGCAACCCTTTGTTCGTTGTGCACTGCCTCCACAAAGTGAGATAAAGAACCCAATAGTCCCTCAGATATTAAAAATAATTAAATTAGTGATGAGCTATTTAGGGATTGTTTATATATAGCTATTACTTTTAGAGACTATTTGAGAAAAATAATAGTAATTTAGGAATGAAATTTAGTATTAATAACACGAGCTTATAAAACTATGGTATGGTTGTACTGAACCTTCACGAAAGCCCGATACACCTCCTTTACCCTCCTTTGTTTCACACTTAGAAAATGGCATATCCTTTTTTTGTCCGTAGAGCTGAGTAAACCACAACAATAATTACAATTTTTTCAAAAAATCTAAAATGGGCTGAGATTAGTTTGCCTTTATTGTGACATCTGTCATTGCCCCCCAGTGAAATGATTTTCGGTATAATTTAGATTTAGTAGGGAATCTAAGACCTTAAATTAGTAAAAATAATTTATTTTTCAAATAATATAAGATTAGAAGAACTTTCTCTATTATACTCTTAATTACATATAAATCTATTATAGAACACCTGTAAACGAGTTTAAACATATATAAAATTAAAGGGATCAAAAATATTTTTTTTTTGAGATCGTAATAATTTTAACAAAATACGCTCTCGCATATAGATCCTCCGTTGCCTACATCTTTAATGAATCAACAACTCACTAAAAAATGTTCTATATTTATGTCTGGCACGCTATCAACCGCATAAACAAAGGAAGTAGTAGACTCTGCGTTGTACACAAAGGCCTTTTTCTTTTTCTTTTACAAATACATGTGTTAGAATAAACAAGTAGTTATTGGGCCATCATACTTGTGACATTGAATCTCTCATCCCAACCCCTTTTCAATAGCACAATCGCAAAGCTCAAAATTCACCACTTCATCATGTTTAATATCGAGACAATAATTGTGTAGAGTGTAGTGATTGTGAAATCCTAATGACTAAGGCCTCTGATATCTTTCACAATCCCACAAAATATAGAAAATGGTGGTATAGAAATGAGGGGCAAAGAGGGAAACATTTACATTTACAAAGGTGAAGGGGGGACCAACGGAAATGAATACCCTATTTCTTTTTATGTATCTCTTTTAATTGAATGAAGGAGAGTAAAGAATGTTGTCCTAGTGATGGATTTCATTAGGCATTGTTGGAGGCTTCTTCCTAAAAACGTGTTTCCTACAGCGTTGGAAAATACTGTCATAGATCAAGTCAAACTGCACTCCTGCTCTCTCCCTATTAATAATGAATAGTATGTGATCACCCTCCACATATTTGTAGTACCTGTTTCATCAAAATACCATAAATTGGTCAGTACAGAACATTTTCTCAGAACAAGAGGTCACTGCACTATACAGATCTTCTGTGAACCAGTTTTGTAGACCATATAATTTTAGATATAAGGAAATAATACAATGCTAAGCCTAAGGCAACAGGTTTGACTATGTCAATAATTAATTATTGGACAAAAGTATATATGGTGATACCAGATGCCAGGTTGTAAAGGATTGCAGTCTGATTCCTTTTCAACCAAGCAGTTCGGGTGTTCAATTGGTAGGCGAGGATGAGTCATGGATATTGTGTTTAGTGCTCCATCATTGTCTTGCCAGTCCTCGTCCCTGCACAAGAAAAAGTTACATATTGTCGATCGATTGATCAAGCTTAATCCAAGTTGCCGGTTAGTAATGCCAAAGAAATGAAACAATAGTTTATCTATAGCATTTACAAACCAACCTGTATCCCTTATAAGGGGGAGGAACATCTGGAGGATAACGCCACTGGCTCATCTGCAACACTCTTATGAAAAGCATGGGGTGAATTCCAAGTATGCTTGAAGGAACTGTAATGCCCATGATCTTGGTTGTGCGCTTGGTCGCGTAGCTGAAGTAGTATGTGTTTGGAAATGTTTGTAGGTGGCAATTGAGTCTTATGGAGCCTTGAATTGTAAGATCAGGGAGGATCCAATCTCCTGAAGCAAATGGACCTGCATTCCCCAATAGGCAGTCAACAAGACCCCATATGCCCATCTTCTTCCATGACATGTTAAAGTGATCAAACCCAAAATTATAGTAGTTCTTCAGCCAGGAAATGTCAAACCAATCATATATAATCACTCCAATGCGGCAAAGTTGTAGCAGGCAAATAGGTTTCAATGTCTTCCCATCTTCTGGCCTGAAACAATCTCAAATTATTGACTAGCTTAGCATTCAGTTTACTCAGCATTAATGATTAGCAAGATATTGATTCTAATTCTCATGTTGTTTTGCAGAAGAGCTCATCAAATTTACTTAAAGCAAGAATGTAGATAATCTACTGAAAAGAGCTGTATAGCCAGATAGCCTTTTACGTATATCGTACTAGTTATTTATCTGTTTTTCATTCATTTATTAGAGGAACTACTACAACATGCTCTCTCAACCAACCCATTTGAAGCCAACAAAATTAAATGAAGACAGCTAAGAAAAGTAAGACAACTATAAGTTGATAAGAACTCACTGCATGCCATCTGTGTAGGTTCTTGTAGTCCCATTAAATGCTCCAGATAAGGACGTGATACTTAATACCCAGTTCTCTGAAGTGTCTTCGTACCCTTTGAATGCCTGAAAACAATATGAACATCAAATTAACAAAAATACGAAAACCATAACAAATAAATAAACAAACCCTTTAGAAGTAAAAGGAAAGGTGAAAAGCACGTGAAACCATTAGCTCCAACCTTATCAGCAAGCATTTGTTGCAAGACACGGACAACTTGTGCACCTGCTGAGTGCCCAACAAAATGAATAGGGTGATCCTCGTCCCACTCAGGGTAATTCCCTGCAACCCAATAACAACAACAAAATACATTTTCATAAAACATTACAAAATTACAAAGTAGAATCGTCAGAAAACAAAGCTCAAACAGCAAAAACAAACAGAACAACAAGATCTCTGAACCTTGTTCATAGATTCGTCCAAACTGCGAGTGTCCACAAGCCGTGCTATGCTCCTCACCATAATCAACTTGCCCACCTTTTAAATAATAGAACAATTCTCGAGCTCTAACAACAAGGAACCCTTTTCAGAAATGTCGCAAAACAAAACAAGCGTAGAACAGGCACACACATTTAATAGAAAAATCCCCAAAAACCAAGTTTTTACACTTCAATAACCCACCTATCGTAGATACTGGTGAGGGAGCCCAAATCAGGAACAAGAACCCTTTCATCTTTCTTCTCTGCCCCGCCAAAGTACGACAGAGCCCCTAATCTCTGAGAAAAACGACCATTTCAAAGAAAAATCAACACCCCATAAGAGAAAACGAAGGATACGGGTAAAAGATGAGAGAAAAAGAAGGGAAGAAAACCAACGGGGCTTACCCCTTTGCCAAATCCAAAAATACCATGAACCAACACAATAGGAGGAAGATCATCAGCATTGGCTTTGGAAATTTCATTTTTGATCTCAACATTGACGTTAGGCTTGTGAAAATATTCATTGAGAGCCTGTGAAAGATCCCCCGCAACAGCAGAGCTAAATATGTAAAACCCATAAAGCAAATGAACCAAGGAACTCACAAAGAGCTCCACCAGTTGCAGATAAGAAATCCATAACCGCATCATTTTCCTCTTCCTTCAGGACCAAGAGCAACAACAAAGAGCCTTCTCAAAAAGAAAAACCGCAAAGGAAGGCTCTTTGCAGGGTTAAAATCAAAAACCGTTTCAATTTCAACCCCTGAAAATGCTGACAGAGACCCTCCTTTTTACATTCATAAACATCAATTCCCTTCTCCGCTGAAATAATTCACAAGCTATATTATTGTGGCAATTGGAAACTTCACAAGGGCCCAAGTCCCTCTTCTTATATAAATCACACAAATACGCGCTGTTCCCTTGCTTCAGACTTTGAACGGGGTCTCTTCCCACATTTTCTTCCTTTTCCACCTCACAATTCTCGTTTCTCAATTCCCAATTCTCTCTCACCTTTTGCCTATTTTTTATTTGTCCACGTTGCTCGGAAAACCCAAAAAAATAATATAATACAATAATCAAATTTATTAAAAACAAATAACCTTTCAGAAAATAAAAATGCTCGCTCGTATATCTGCCACTTGTCCTTAATATTATGGGCACCACCAAATTAGATAAAATCCATATACAAAAGAAAAACTAAATTTTCGCCTAAAAATTAGGCCAAAATGACAAAATGTACGTGGATAGATAACAATTGATAAACTTTCCTAAATTTTACACGTGTATCATTGTGATAATATATTTTTAAATAAACTACAGACATATAATTACTTACATTTATCCAAATTTGTAGTAACTGAGACCTTTATTATTACAGTTAAGTTAGCAGAAGATAATTCTAGGACTTTCTTTTGTTGCGTTGTAAAGCAGGTGGAAGGTTCGGAGTTTTTAAACAAACGTCGTGTCTTATCTTATCCGTTGGAATTCATATTCAACAACCCGAAATAAAATCAAATCCACTCAACAAAATAACCATTTGTTGATTGTTGGTTCGGTAATCTACCCAAACGCGCTTCTCGGAGATTGTGGATTGACGCACGTTCTTAGAACGGAGTTTTCTAGGGATTAGATTTCACTCCTTAGGACTTCAAGATGAACCTATCCAACCTAAATCCAATTTTCTTTAATAAAAGTTGAAAAATGTAGTGGTGTGTATATACCAATGTGTGATTTATGTTTTGTTACTAGATGCCAACACCCTTCAAACTCTTTCGTAAATAATTTACTATTATGCGTATATAATGACGTAGATGAGTCAAACTATTAGTTAACTATTGGGTTTATGAATTGAGTTTATTAAGTTATTAGTACACTTATTCTAAAGTTTAGTTAGCTAACATTAATTTTAATTTATCTAAAATAAAAGTTTCTTTTTAATATATGAAATATTTTTATGATACAAAATTTATGTATATTTTCTATAAATAGATTAGCATTTTAAAATACATTTTATATACTATGTTGATAAAGTAAAATAATTTAAAAAAAATTCATACAAATAGAATTATTAAGTTATAAAATAACTAAATAAGTCAAGCGTTTCATTAGCAAAGAAAACTCAAGTTTCTAGTTAATTTTCGAACAAATAAATGAATTAAATTTAAGTCATTAGTTTTATTTTATTTTTGACTAGCAAACTTCGCATGTTTTAATTAAAATATAATAATTATTTTAAATGGTGTGATGAATAATTATAAGAAAATTTAGTTTCATCTTATTGTTTTTATGTGAAACAATACATTGGTAATATGAAAAATTGTTAAAGATGTGAATATGTGTAAAGATATTTTTGTTACTGTTTTTATCATTTTGTTTTATATTAGTAGTAGATTCTGAATTTTTAGTCCTTAATAATTTATATTTATCTGTTTAAAGGTTTGATAAAGTGAATAATAGTACATAACACTTTAATATTACTTTGTGTTTATTCTTTATTTTACCCTTCTTTATAAGAGAAAAATTCTGCAACAGTATCAACATTTATTTATAAAAGAAAGATGAGAGTCATTTCATTCATTTGTTTGTAATAGTGGTATGAAAGTCATTCCTTTCATTTGTTTGTAAAAGTGGTACCAGAGTCATTCAAACAAAATAATGAAAGATAATTTTGTTCAACCATCCATTCCTCGCAACAAAATAATGACAGATAACTTTGTCCAAACATTCATTCATCGCTTTGATAGACATTACGATCACTGGAGTATGTTGATGCAGAACTTCTTGAGATCCAATAAAATAATGGCAGATAACTTTGTCCAACCATTCATTCCTGACTTTGATGGACACTACGATCACTGGAGTATGTTGATGCAGAACTTCTTGAGATCCAAAGAGTATTGACAAGTTATTTCTGAGGGCATTCAAGAACCAGCAGATGTCATAGTAGTGATAGAGGTTCACAAAAATGAGATAGAAAGGCTGCACTTGAAAGATTTAAAGGCAAAAAATTATCTTTTTCAAGCAATTGATCATTCAATATTGGAGACCATCCTTCGTAAAGATACATCCAAGCATATTTGGGATTTCATGAAGAAAAAATATCAGGGCTCTGGAAGGGAAAAAATGCAACAACTTCAAGTCTTTCATTCGGAGTTTAAAACCCTACAAATGAAATCGGGTGAGTCTATAACCGATTACTTTTCACGTACAATGGTCATTGTTAACAAGATGCGTATTCATGGTGACAAAATAGATGGCGTTGTTGTGGTTGAGAAGATACTCTGTTTCATGACTCCAAACTTTAATTTTGTAGTTTGTTTCATTAAAGAAACTTATGTAATTGAAGATAACTTTCAATTGATAAGTTGCAAAGTTCTTTATTGATTCATAAGCGAAAAATTTGCCACCAGGAGAAGAAGGAACATGCATTAAAGGCTTCTATATATAATAATTCCACAAATAGAGGAGGTTGTGGTAAAAGAAACAACAGAGGTCATGGTTATCAAAATCATCACCATCAGGAAAGAGGACGAGGAAGTCATCACTCTACAAAGTCAGCAAACAAGGCAGATGTTAAGTGTTTTTGATGTCATAGGTATGATCATTATAAATTAGAATGTCAAGTTAATTTGGATAATGAAAATGGAGAAAAAACTAACTTTGCAGAAAATGAAGAAAAAGTCTCTTTGTTGATGATTTGTAATGCAAAAGAAGAAAAGTAGAAGAATCTATGATACCTAGATACAGGTTGCAACAACCATATGAGTAGTGACAAGTCTGCGTTTTCGGTGTTAGACGAATCGTTTCGTGACAATGTGAAGTTTGGAGATCATTCTAGAATCTCTGTAATGAGAATAGGAGAGATAACAATTCAAACAAAAAGAAATATTGTTCAGACTATATTTAATGTCCTTTTTGTTCCAGATTTAAGAACAAATTTGTTTAGTTTTAGCCAATTACAATAAAAGGGATATGAGGTTTCTATAAAGATGGAGTTTACAAAATAAGATGCCAAGTTGGTATGAAACCTAATAAGATGTTTCCATTATACCTCCACACCATCACCAACTCATGTTTTACTGCAAACTTGAAAGATGAAATTTGACTTTGGTATTTTTGGTATGGACATTTAAATTTTAGAGATTTAAAGACATTGCAACAAAAGAGTACGGTGACAGGGCTCCCGCAAATACAAACTTCTTCTCAATTATGTGAAGAACGTGTCATTGGTAAACAACATCGAAAACCATTTCAGAAAGGTAAATCATGGAGAGCAAGGAAGGCGTTGGAGCTTGTGCATACAAACTTGTGTGGATCCATCACTCTGATGTCAAATGGAGGTAAACGATATCATTCATTGATTATTTTAGTAGAAAAACTTGAGTTTATTATTTGCATGAAAAATCTGAAGCTCTCACAACTTTTAAAAGTTTCAAAGCTTTAGTTAAAAAAGAAGCAGAGACTCCAATCAAGATATTACGTAGTGATCATGGTGGAGAATACAATTCAAAAGAATTTATTAATTTTTGTGATGTGTAAGGAATAAAGAAACAATTGATTGTAGCATAAATACATTAGCAAAATGGCATTTGTGAAAGGAAGAATCACACAAATACTAATAACATGGTACTGAAGTCTTTTAACATGCAGTGGAATTCCAAAAACTTTCTGGCCTGAAGTAGTTAATTGGAGTATACATATCCTAAATAGAAGCACACTGTAGCTTAGTTCAAAATATGATGAGTAAGGAATAGATTATTCCAAAAAAATTTGGTGTGTTGCTTATGCTCATATCCTAAATCAGAGGAGGAAAAAGTTTGATGATAAAGGAGAAAAATATATTTCTCTTGGTGTGAGTGAGCAATCAAAAGCTTACAAATTGTATAATTCTATCACCAAGAAAATGGTGATTAGTCATGACGTGGTGTTTGATGAGGGGCTGTTTTGGAATTGGGATACAAGTAAAGTGGAACATCAAATACTAGTTTATTTTAACAGTGAAAATGAAGAAGGGCGACAACCACCAATAACACAAGTACAAAGTGAGCAACAAGTTGAACCAATGGATGAATGTGAGCAACAAGCAGTTGAATCAACAAATGAACCTCCATAACGAAACATAAAGAGACCTACATGGATGGAGGATTTTATGGTAAATGGAATTAATGAAGAGGTAGTTACTCATTTTGCTCTATTTGCAGATTGTGATCTAGTAGTTTTTGAAGAAGTTGTCAAAGAGCACAAATGGAGGAAGGCAATGAATGAAGAAATTGTAGTCATGGAGTACAATAATACTTGGGAGCTAACTCATCTTCCGAAAGGACACAAAACAATTGGTATAAAGTGGGTTTACAAAACTAAGCTAAAAGAAAATGGTGAGGTTAACAAATTCAAGGAACGCTTAATAGCTAAAGGCTATAAGCAACAATTTGGTCTTGATTATAAAGAGGTGTTTGTTCATGTTACTATATAATCAAATTGGTAATTGCTATTGTAACCAAAAAAACTCATGGCCCACTTTTCAATTAGAAGTGAAATTAGCATTTCTACATGGTGATTTGAAAGAGCAAGTGTTTGTTGATCAACCTCTTAGATATGTGAAGAAAGGGAATGAACACAAGATATATAAATTAAATAAGGCATTATATGGA